GACTGTGAAGAGTCGACAGTGCCAGTGAGTGTGGAGGACGACGATGGAGGTACCTGTCTCCAGTACCCCAGAGAGTAGGAGAAAGGCAGTACCTGTTGGATGTGAGCACGGCGAGGACGCATTACCATGAAGGCGATGGAGGAACCTGTGTGTGTCAGAACTGTTCATCAGGAGACCAGAAGCCAGAACCAGGAACCTCAACATCTCTCAACAGAGGACGAGTCAGCTTCGTGGTTGGAGTGAAATAAGGTAGATAATTGTCCCTCCCTTACCCCTTTTTGAGCTAGGCAAGTTAGAGTATTTTATGTTGTGAACATTTCTTCTCATTTTATTGTCTACGTGACAGGACGTTAGGCTAGGAGCCAAAAACTCATTTAGGCATGATTTGATGTGGGTGAGCATTAACGTGGTGATGTTAGTGATCCTGGAAGGGTAGTTGGTGTGTAAGGAGCCACCAACGTACTCTGAAACGTCCAGCTGATCGCCTTGCTAGAGGCGTGGGAAATCACGACGTTCTGACAGCTAGAGCCGTCAGCTGATCTTGCTGCCAGAGGCGCGAGGTGTACTCGCCTAGTTGTGTTTGCGGGGGTTGAGCTCTGGCTCTTTGGTCCCGCCTCTCAACCGTCAATCAACAGGTGTACAGATTCCTGAGCCTATCGGGCTCTATCATATCTACACTTGAAACTGTGTATGGAGTCAGCCTCCACCACATCTCTTCCTAATGCATTCCAATTGTCCACCACTCTGACACTAAAAAAGTTCTTTCTAATATCTCTGTGGCTCATTTGGGCACTCAGTTTCCACCTGTGTCCCCCTTGTACGTGTTCCCCTTGTGTTAAATAGACTGTCTTTATCTACCCTATCAATTCCCTTCAGAATCTTGAAGGGCCGGACATTGATGAAAGCAACATATATTAACATTGGACAATGTATTTATATGATATATAATAAAATAGATCATATTAACATAGTTATTCATTATTATTTGTGTTATTATGTATTACTCGGCAATGCTATAAAGGCACCAACTGCATATCCACTTTGTGGACACTTCTTACTACTATTCTTCTTTGAGTGTTGGACAGGTGCTTGCACCTCTTTATTACTGCATAATCCTTCAGTTCCAGTTACTAGGAGCTCTTCTCCTTATCAATAAAACGTTCTTATTTTTAAAAAATTTGTCTAAAATCAATTTCTGAAAATATTTTGATGAAAGTTTCATGACACTGAAGCCAATAAGTTGGAGACTTGTTAAACACTTTTAAGTTATTTTTAGATAATTCGAATATTTTTCGCTACTATGCCCCCCCATATTCGCGGTCTTAGGGGTTAAGACATATCCATAGTAATGCAGAGCCCCCAAAGGGTTTACCAGGACCCACGGGGAGATGTCTCTCCATGGGAAGCCCAGGAACTGGTGCTGCAAAGCCAGTTAATCCCCATCAATTACCAGGCAAATTGACCCCCTTTGAAGGGCGCAACCTCGGGGGCATAGAGAAGGATCACCAAACGCCACTTAAGCGAACCTAATTGGAAGCTAGGCAGACTTCTACCAGGCAGAAAAGATCACAAAAAAAACACACACAAAAAAAAAAACGAAAGCACACAACAGGGCATCAGAGAGAGACATGGCCGCCACTAGTTATGCGAGCTGCGCAAGCACCGCGTGCCCCGACCTAAGAACAAGCACACACTACCCAGGGCCAAACGAAAGCACCAAGACCCCCACTGACCCCAAAGGCGAGATCAATGTCAAGCGACAGCAACCCCCTACGGGATGAGAACCTGAAAGCCCCAGGGAAGAGAACCCCGAGATCCAAGGGAAGTACTGTACAGTAGTTACAGAGCACATAGGGAAGATAACCCTAAGCGTATGCAGCCTGAAGTACAGCTTTTTCCTGGCCATCCGCACCACCCACACAGCAGGCACAACCACAAGGGCAAAATTGTGACAGGAGAATGTGGCCAGAGGAGACGTCAGTCCCAGCAGGCATCAGTCGACGAACTGGAGGGCGAGCAGCCGGCTCGGGTGAGAGGTGTGTCAGTTTGATGACGATTTGCTTGAAGCATTGTTTTTCTTGGGGGGCTGGGGGAGTACTTTGACTCTGTTTGGTCTTGGGGTTGCAACGTTCTACCAGTTGGGGGTTTGTTTTGGGTTGCCTACCTTTCTGGGTGCCTTCCCCAGTCTTTGGCAGAAACTGAAATACTCTAAAAGAGGGGAGTTTTCATAGGCCATTGCTCCCTGCACCTCTTTGAGGGAACCAGGTTCTGGCTCATTGTTTCCAGTAGGTAAGAACTCCATGTGACTGATGCCCCAGACTAATATAGCATGTATCAGTCCAACAGCTCCCACCCCCACAGAAAGAGACATTTGTTGCAACTTTTGATGACCCAGGGAGCTCAACTACAGTATATATCTACATCTGCAACAGAGCTGTGAGGTGGAGTAAGCATTAGTCGGCGCTCCAGACTTTCTGGTGGTGGATACTGGTACAAATCGGTTGATGTTTGTTAGTAATAAACGTGTTTCTCCTGAATAGTCTTGCAGTCATGTTGCAAAGTCATTTGGCCATTTTGGTGTTTTATTTTTTATGAACCTTGCAGATGTCTGTAAAGCTCCACTAACTTTCTGGTTGCTTTTCCCGGTGGGGGGCGACAACAATAGTCCTGGGTGCCCTGCGCCTCTGTGAGGAGGTCCAGGTTATGGCTCCGGTGTTTGGCAGGCCAAACAGGATGCCTGCAGCTGGTGTGACCCAATAGTGGGGAAGACATCTCAGTGACATAGCTTTGGGGAGCTGCAGGTCTCACCAGGAAAGCTTTATTTCTCTAACTTTTCAATTAACAAAAAAATTATTTATTCATTAATCAAATGACTGAAATAAACGATTCTTTGATATTACAAACGTGACAAATATACACTTTATATTTTAATAATCTCTCACCAGCTTTCCTAATTTACATTTAATTTTTTTTTAAACTACAGTGTAACCTCAATTTTAGGAATTTATGGCAGTAATGCACACTTTGTAGGTCAGACTTACTCACCAAAGCCCGTAAACAGGCGAGGGAGGGAGGGAGGACTTTCTGGGAGGGCTTCTAAAAGTGGCACCTTGTGCTTTGTCATCCTGGAGAACGAACAAAAGGCTCACTCAGCAGGACACATTGGAGAGCGACAGAAAGTAATCATCCCCAGCAAGGGGGGAATTAGCAATGAGTTAACTACCCTAAATCCACATAAGCCCAACACGGACCAGGAAGAATCACCAAGTAGCAACCTGTTAGCACTTTTTTTTTTAAACTGCCAAAACCCCTATGCCTGAACATCTGCACAGGACATACACTTTAAAACACCATGGACAGCCACAAACTTGCGAACATCTCGGGCCTGAGAGTAGACCACAGGATGGTTAAACCTGATGACAATGCAGACAAGCTAAAACAAATGGGTCTTGGAATAAGGGACCAGAGATGACAGATTCACAGAACGTCCCATATGCACCACTAGTGGTGCAGAAGTAAAGGCAGATGTTCAGAACTGGACAACAAATGATGCACCCATGGCTGGACCAACTAAGTACAGTGGAATCTCGAGTAGCGAGCGACTCCAGTTACGAGCATTTCGAGTAACGAGTGAGCCACTCGCAGAAAATTTGTCTCGATTGATGAGCTTTCGCTCGATTAACGAGCAAACCACATGGTGCTTCCTAGCATTCTCACTGGTTCTCGGATGCCTCCGACGACAGTGTTGTTGTTGCTTCGCAAGACGAGCGTTTCACATGACGAGCTCGGTGATGGAACGGATTAAATTCACTAGTTGAGGCACCACTGTATTGTACAGTATCAATAACCAAAGGACCCCTTCAGGAACTAGCCACAAGTTCATAATCAACCCCTGAAAACTGCATAGGGCTTGCATGGTCCTGAAGGGAAGACCATGCAGTAGGCACTAAGCACAGGGGCCACTCGCTGAATATTACAAATACCAAAAACAACCTAGGACATAAGCAGCTGTTAAGTGCATGAGCAGCAAGTCAAAAATAGCATGCAAGCACCTTGTGCTACTTGCTACCTTTGTACAAAATCCCAAACTGCCCCATCCACAAAGCCTTGCAGAGGAGTTGAAGTTCCTTGCACTGTTAAGGGTCTTTCACAGGAAGACAGCCTCTCAGTGATAGCCACCTTAACCCACCAGGAAAGATATCCCCGACTGGGCAGAGACAATACCAGTAAACATGTACAAATGGTCACTCTAGGCACACAAGCAACCCAAGATGAAGTTAGTCAGAGTCCACACTGAAAACGAGGCATAAATATACATGAACGTGAAGCAAACACTAAAATATAAAACAATTATTCAAGCAAATAAACCCCACCAGACAAAGAACTGTGTCTAGGATGCCAACATTTATCTGAAAAACCAGGACTTGAACACTGATAGGAATAAGGAGCGCAACTGTGACATTCTGATGTATCGCATCAAGCACAATGACTGATGATCAATGCTAGGGGAGGAGGAGGAGGATGTTTATGTGGGATTAACAAGTGAACTGCATCTTGACTGGGGGATTTGCTCGGTTCAGGGTCTTGTCTCAATTTTATGCTTAGTTAACCTTGCTGATTGTTTTGGTTCACCCACCTTTCTGGTGGCATTTTCTTGGTTAGGGTGATATAGTAATACTCCATGTGCATCTCTAGAGGGGCCAGGTTTTGGCCTCTGGTCCCCTGATAGGCTTACAATGCCTCACACGTAAATGGTATGATGTTGAATTGAGGTTAGCACAAGAAGTTGGATAGCTCCTTGGGCTACTTGGATCTCTCCAGGTAGCATAAGGAGCCATCTTAGGAGCCCTCCCAAAAAAAGAATTACATTACAATAATCTCTGGCTGCAATGGAAGTGGGCCAGGTTCTCATAATTTGTTGAAGTGAGGTTGTACTGAATGAAATATGTACATTATTTTAGAAATTACAGTGTAACAAGATAACTAAATTAATATCATACACATTAGGTCCTCGAGTGTTTATATGCTTTTTCCTATTAGTAGCAATTGTTGCTGCATCCTGCGGGTGTGGGCAGTCGGACAAATTGTGATCACCCGAACAGTTAAAGCACCGTTTCTTTGGTCGTGCATCGTTGATTTTTTTGCCCGTTATCATGCTAAACTCTACATCGGTAAGAACGCCAGCAAAACCCTGCAATAGAAAAACAATATATACCAAGGTAATTTTACATGTCCTTTTCTTCTGCTATTAACTTTACAGTACAAACATGTGAATGTTTATACTGTAAATGTTTAATGTAGATGGAACAAGTATGAAACATAACAGCTTTACTAACAAACAAATGCCTTCCAGTTCAATTCTAATACAACTTTCAACCCATAACCTAACAATCACAAACACTGATGCACTTTTACCAAAGAGAACTCCCCCATCTTTCATGGGGGGTAACCTCACATAGAATATGGAATCTTATCCAGGCATTTTACCCACACTTAAATTAATAATTATTTTTTTTTAAAAAGTCAATGACTTAACCTAGTATCTGTATAAGTAAAAAAAAAAAACAGTTTTTAATGTCATCCAACAATAGAAATTAATGAACTGCATGTTCATAAATTTCACTATTTAATTAATTGATTAATGAATAATATGTTAATACAGTCCATTATTGAATAATACACTTAACCTCTCAATAGAGAAATATCAAGCACTTAAAATCCAGCGTAGAATGTAATGAAACGGCATTTTCTGGGCGAGACCCGGAAACTTCCCGGAGATATACAGTACCAGGTTGATGTGTATATATTAGACTGTGGCAACAGTCAATTGGAGTTCTATGCCTACTGGAGATCACAAGCCAGAACCTGGCCACATCAGAGAGGCATGAGGAGCAATGGCCTATAGACACCCCTATGTAGTTGGAAGCAGTCTACATCTGCCATCTACCAGGTCAGGCACCCAGAAAGGTAGGAATCCCAAAACAAACTACAGGGGTTAAAAATTGCAAACCAAAAGCTGAACGAGCAAGCAGAACTCCCAATCAAAAAATAAGCAGACAACTCCAAGATAAAAAAACAAGACAAACATCCCCACTGTCTGCGCTGCCCCCCCCCCCCTCTCCGGGAGAGGGAAAGGAGAGCCCAGACCTCCATCACTGGCTACCGAACCCCAGTTCAGAGGCTGGAAATTAAAAAAAGCAAAAAACCACAGATAGGAGGGAGGAAGAGAGGGATGCTGGGGAACCTCACCCAGAAAATTGTGTTTCATTACATTCAACGCTGCTTTTCTGTGGAGAGCTCCTTCAGCTCCCCAGAGCTACCTAACCAAAGATAAAAGAAAAGGGGGACTTAGCTGGGAGGTGGCTGCCATTCACTCCTAAACTTGAAGTTGAGACAACTGGCTGCAACCTGTGACCCAAGGCTACACACGCCCGAGAAGGGCCAGGAACATTTACAAGGTACCGTGCAGCCAGGACCCTGTTCGACCTCCAAAACCCCCTTGCCCAAATGTCAGCCCAAGACATTACCAAAACCAGCAGCCAAATCTGCGAACGAAGATTTGGCTGCTGGTGTCGGTCCATCCCTGTGTCGTGGGGCACAGGGATGGACCGTGGGCTGGTTGGACTGAATAATCCTGCGGACCACCTGGGAGACTCGCGGGGCGCAAGTAATAGTGAAGAGCTGCAACCCGGACACAAAATATGATGCACCCCCGGCCGAACCAACCAAGCATCAACCACCCAAGGACCCCTCCAGAAAGCAGCAGTCTCATTCTTCGACAGAAAAGAAGGAGACGGCTGCAAACGAACAAAACGACCACCAGGACCGAGAGAGCAAAAACTCCCTGCGCCGGAGGAGAGCATGAAGCTCCCAGATCCAACCCCCAGAGGCCAATGCCAACAAGAAAAAGAGCCTTAGGAAAAAAGTCCTGCACTGAAGGGGCCATTACAAACCCAAACAGAGGAGGAGAGAGAAAAGAGCACCCGGCCAAACGACCAGGACAGCTCAGGTGGCACATGAGCAGGCCGGAAGTGAAACAATACCCTAGAAAGCCTTGTAGCAGAAGTGACATCCACCCTGAAGCAAGCTGAAGGGGCTCCACGAGCACAGCACGATACGAGACGACAGTATTTGGCATAAGATGATGGTCCTAAAACAACTAAGAGAGAAAGGATAAAACAGCCCGATCAGAAATCCAAGACCTATGAAGAGAAATAGTGTCGAAAGGATCGCCAGGAAACTTCATACAGTGACACCTTGACTAACAATTTTTTTGCGTTACGATGTAAATTTGGTTTGAAAATGCGACTCGACTTACGATCGTGTCGTCAACTAAAGATTTTCGTTGATACACATTCGGGTCGACCGAGCGCACGGTTCCTGGTGGCACGGGCCGACCTGCCTCAGTTTACCAGAGCCGCCCGCTTAGCGACAATCACGTTTATAAGAAATTCCATTAATTTCGTGATTTTTTGTTTTTTGAACATAAAAGTAATTATTATATATCATACTATGGGTCCCAAGAAATTCAGTGGTAAGGTTCAACATATGAAAACACATGTGAGGATGACCATAGAGGCAGTACAGATTGTCCTTTCCTCAAACATTAAGAAAATGTGTGCAGCATGGGAAGAACTGCAAACTTTTGCTGAAATGACTCGCCCAAATCAAGCTGCAGTATTGTTTTTCTCCAGCCAGAGATCACAATTCTTACAGTCACTTTTTGCCAGGCTTTGTCTACGAGTTTTAAAGCCCTACAAATGTTAAAATGGGTTTTCCAGAATTTTTTGAGGGCGAGTTGTAGGGCATCCATCACTTCGACACATCTCCGAAAAAGTGCCCTTTCATAAAGTTTCTTAAAATTGGCAATGATTTTCTGGTCCACAGGCTGAAGTAGTGGAGTGGTGTTGGGAGGAAGGCACTTTACTGTAACAAAACTAAATTCCTCCATCAATGAATCCTCCAAGCCTGGAGGATGGGCAGGAGCATTATCGAGGAGAAGCAAGGGAAACTGTTCTCCTGCAGATATTTTTTGATGGCAGGGCACACCACCTCATTCACCCACTCGGTAAAAAATTGCCTAGTCACCCATGCCCTCCACATCACACACATTTTGTTTTTCTGCACATTATATTTTTTTGAAAACCCTTGGATTTTCAGAATGATACACAAGCAAGGGTTTAATTTTCAAATCACCACTCACATTACCACACAGCACAAGAGTATATCGATTTTTCATAGGCTTGTGTCAAGGCAATGACTTCTCCTTGGTAATGTATGTTTTCTTTGGCAATCTTTTCCAGAATAGCCCTGTCTCGTCACAAACACTTGTGGTAGGTATGCCTCACTGCACAAAATCTTCAAATTCGCCAATAAATCTTTCAGCCACTGGTGTGTCTGAGCTGGCACCCTCCCCATGCCTCATGTCACTATGAATGCCACTTCTTTTTCTAAATTTCTCAAACCATCTCCTGCTTGTCTTAAACTCTTTCGCTTCTGCATCACTCATTCCAGGGGTTTATCACTCATTCCAGGGGTTTTCTTTATAAGATCTTCATGCAATTTTCTTTCCTTTTCACAAATGATGGCCTCTGAAACGCTATCACCTACTAACTCCTTGTTGTGTATCTAAATTAATAATAACTGTTCAACATCAAGTGTTTGTGTTCTATGTTTAGTGATTATTGATACGCCTTTTGCCACTTTAGCACTCATATGTCCTTTTTCTTATCAAGTATGGTGGATATCGTTGACTGAGATTTGTTGTACTGCCTAGCTAGTTCAACAACCCGCACACCATCTTCACATTTACGAATGATCTCTTTGTTTTTGCTCTATGGTCATCCTTACATGGGTGTTCATATGTTGAACCTTACCACTGCCTTTCTTGGGAATATATCACGCCTTACCATGGCGTGATATATAATAATTAGTTTTATGTTCAAAAAGCAAAAAATCACCACAAAAACGGAATTTCTTATAGGCGTGATCGTCACTATGCAGGCAGCTCTAGTAAACTGAGGCAGGTCCACCCACGTGACCTGGAACCACGCTCTGAGTCGACCCAAATGCGTACCAACAAATATTGTTAGTCGACGACACAATCTTAAGTAGAGTTGCATTTTTCGATCAAATTTACATTTTAACTCAAAATTATCGTAAGTTGGGGCAATCATAAGTCGAGGTGCCACTGAATATCATATAAATACATTGTCTGATGTTAAAATATGTTACTTTCATCAATGTCCCAAAAATATTTTTTTTAGGGGAATTTTTTTTTTTTAAGATTTTAGTTTTGTTTTTTCTCCTTTGTTTATTATCTGATTTTGTTGTAGCCTTTACATCCTGGAGAATGCACATATTTCTCAAACTATGTGAAGATGGAATGAAATTGGTCAACAAATAAATAAGTCAACTCCCAAAACTTGGGACTTTAAATGAAGAAATCCACAAGGGCCGTGGATTTCTAACAATTGTGGATTTGTTCATTTGATGCATCACGCTATTGTAATTTCTGTGCGTGTGTTAGGACTTAAATTTTTTTTGCCCGATTTTTTCTCTGATTTCAAACTATTTTCTTTGTCTCTTTAGGTTATTTTGATGATTAGGGACCATATTAGGGCTTTTTCCACTTATATAAGGTATACCCTAAATATATCCCCTAAATCATTATAATTATCCCTATATTTTGTTTTTGGGGTTATTTTTTCTTGTTTACATTTCAACACATATTGACCCACAACTTTCACATATTAGAGTAAAAATGCCAAACAATGTTTATTTAAACATACAATTAAATTAACGAATTAAAAATACCTTTATTCATTGTTGACAACTGACAACTTCAACTTCAATTATTCCTGAAACTAGAGTTTCAACTTTGAGTCACTTCTAAAATTCCAGTTTTTGACCGATTCTCCCTATTTTGACATTGTGTGCTCAGCTGTCTATTCTACAATCCCTTCACAATGGATTTTTCATAAACTTTATACATTTGGAGTTATAATTTTTTTGGGTCTAAATTTGCCGCATATTTCTGATGCCTTATTGACGATTTTTTTTACAATAAATTATGCTGAAAACCTATATTCTAATTTGATGAAAATTAAAATCATATTCTATTCTGAGAGAATAGCATCATTAAATAAACAATTGGTGATAGTTCATATTTTTTATTATGAATTGAAAATC